TCTTGAGATGTTCTCAAAATTCAGGTGGGACAGACGCTAGCATTTTGGCTTTGTTTCTTTAATAAGGGCATGCTTTCCAACTATAGTTCCTTCCTCTTTTTCCAACTTTTGTATTGTGGTCACCAATAATTATCAATGCATCTTTGTTACATGTGTGATCAATTTCATACATTTCAATGAAATACATTGGTGGATTTCTTCATTACTAACTGTCACGGTTGGTGCATAAACTGGAACAAAGGTTGTACTAGCTCAAATTCCTGGAAGGCAAATAGATACAATCCTATCACAAATGGCACTATCCTTCAAGATAGATCTTCAGATGTCCTTATTGAGGTTGAATGCAACCCCATTCCCGTGGTTGTTTTCTTCCCAAGCATAGTAAACCATATGATTTTCTGACTCAAAATGGCCAATATCAGTCCATTTCAGCTCACTAATATCTAGAATGTCTGTTTTGATGCATTCCATTTCTTTTGTACAGCCTCCAATTTTCCTAGACTCATACTTTGTACATGCCAAGTTCTATTCATTAGTGGATTTTTGCAGCCGTGTCTTCTCATTTTGAATCCTGCCCTATTAGCAAATGAAATGACTGAAGCCTTTCCTCCCACAGGCTTGACTCGATCCCCATCCTTCTGGTTGGCTCAGCTCGGAGGTGGCAGCGCTTCCACATATTGTGCATGCCTGCTGACCCGAGGGCTTGTCTTCTGGCCCTGTCTCTGACAATGTTCTCCTTTTTATGAGTTTCAGGATATGACAATGCTTTCATTATGTCCATTGGGTTTCAGCAGATAATTCCTCAGAAATGGACAGCCTATTCTCCTTGGTAGTCTCTTCTTAGTCTGGCAGCTTTCCTGAAACCTCTTTGCTTCGGTTGACCCTGCTGGTATTTGAAATACCAATAGCACAGCTTCCACCGGCACAGCAACACACAAACCACCACGGAATGACAAACTGACAGATAAGTGGTGGTAAATCCAACAAATCATAGTATTAATGTCTTTTGTTGGATTGAGGAAAAAGAATATATGCCACCGGTTTCCAAACACACAGATATATATACCTACATATTTAGATTTGTATATTCTTACCTATTATTGGAATGATACTGGGACATACTAATTTTCAGAATATAATTGAAATTCTCATTAGACATCTAAGATTTTTTTTCCAAAAATGTCAGTTTTTATTCAGTAGAAAGTATTATGTCCACTCTTTCAAAGTATAAAAGTATAAAAGTTTGACAGCTGATTATTGTCAGTTAGTTTGGATTAACACCAAAGAGCTGTGAAGGAGTCTGGAATTATGTTTTGATGGTAAAATCAGATGCCTAGGAAATGAGAAAGTGGAGACCAGAAAGATAGACCGTGGGATTTAAAAAAAAATGTTTTCACAAAGACAGATTGAAAGTTGCCAAAGAACTTGAGCCCCACCACTTCTTTTTAATTTAGGAAAATGTTGATGGACCTCAAATGTTAAGGAGTCTAAGGCAACTAAAAAGGACTGAATATGCAGAAGAAAAGAAGCTAGAAGGTCAAGGGAAGCAGAGTAAAGAAAGAAGAGATTTAGACCAAGGATAAAACAAATACTTCCTAGAGAAGAAAATAAATGTTAGTGGATGCTCCTCCCACAGCGCTTTATTTTCCCCACTCTACTTCTCTGCTAGATTCTATAATTCATTGTAATAACCCCACAGAACTCACAGATAATGCTTTTGACTATGGGCTTTATTAAGGAAGTTGGCAGGTTACAAATCAGGTGAAATATGCTCAGCACACAGTTGTTCAATCAAGACAGTTTCTTCTCTGCCATACCTACTGGCAGACTGCTTTTCCGGGTCTCAGCCTCTGGTCCTGTCCCTTGCACTGCTCTGGCAAGGTTGAAAAGCTCTTTCAGGGCTGTCAGTGAATGTGTCAAAGCATGCCACTCCATGGTAAACCTGAACTCTGTAGTATTCGGCTCCAGTTCTGTGGGTCAGTAAAACTAGCTCTCCCAATTAAGTGCCCAGGGGCACTTACTCCACAAGCCAGCCTCCTGTCCTAAAGCCCTCAGTGGTACTTGGTCTATGGGCTGGGAGTTCCACCATTCTGTCGTATGCTCTGAATGCTGGTTCTGCTGTTGCTGCAGCTCCTCTGCCACTCCTCTGGTGTCCCAGCTGTCTCCTGGACCCAGGAGGTTCAATGCAAAGGGATCTCACCGTCCAAAGGGCCCACTCCACTCCAGGTAGTGAGGTCATCATGATCCACTGCTGATATACCTAGCAGGATGGCAATCATAATGAACTTTGATAATAATCACTCACAGTTGAATCATAAACCATCCCTCTCTCCACCCACTGTCTTCCCTGTACTTATTAGGAAAAAGGAAATTATTTGTTGAGAGTAGCAAATTATATGGCTGGAAAAAACAATATCAAATACTTTATTACTTTGCTATGGGATAGGATATAATGCAGACAAAATACGGAATTATCTCAAGGGAAACTAAGGAACCATCCAAATGAGGGTTTTCATTTCTCTGAAAATAGGCAGCTGTCATCTTCAGAGAGTTTTCAACTTGTACCCTGTCATACTGAGAAAGCAGGTCCATTTGACATGGATATAAAATGCATTTGTAAATTACATATACATTTCAAATAGAAAACCAAAATTAAAGAAAAATCTGTTGTCTAAAATTCATCATGACAGTGTCATAGTTTCATCCCAGATAATGGCATCAAGTATCAAAACCAATAGGAATTTCTTTTAAAATCATAAAGAAAGAATAGTAAATATCATAGCCAATTCTGTGGTGGAAGTGACTTCAGTTAAAAGCTTTCATAAATGACAGCATATATAATCCCACGTACTGGCCATGGGAAGACACAGGAAAATAAATATGCCCTCCTTGATTGCCTGAGCCAAGCAAAGATCCTGACCTATGGAATGTCTTCCAAGTTCAACATCGAGCCTGCAGGTACCTCTTTGATGCCTGTTCCATTGATCAGATCCATTCACTTAGCATCCATACTTGCTGTGTGAACGGCTTATTTCCTCTTCAACTTATATGTTGGTGCTCTGTAGAATATCAGCCACCCTTCTGATCTCTCCAAATTCAGTCCAAAAATAAAACTCTTCTCTCTCCTTTCCTTTTTCTTCAACACCCAAAATGCCAAGCATCAAGTTTCCTCTAAGCTACCTTTCAGTATTGTCTTCTTCCTGCCACATTATTTTTCAATTTGTAGAAAGATGTTCCTAAAATGTAAATATTTCTATGGCCCAGGATGCTGTCCTATACTTTATCTGTTCTGTTCCTCCCCCGCCCACCACCCACCACCACCACCACTTGATTCCTCTCAGTTAAGATCTCAGGGCCCTGCATGTGGTAGCTCATTAATCCTAACAATATGAATGGTTGCTATGTGCTAAATAGCATTCTGCTGTATGAGAATTTCAGTTTCAAAACAATTCAGACATTATTCTGAAACAGTTTTCATTTCCTTATGGAAATAAAGTGAAAGCACATTCCTCTAGATATTCCTCGTGTCCCACATGAGGTAAGCATAAAATATGAAATATTGACCTGAGGTGGTTAATTTAACATTGACCCTTTTATGTCTATAAAGCACTGCGAACCCTTGGCAAGAGATAAAAATCACGTTTAATATGACAACTGGACTGACCATTTTTTTACTATTATTGCCTCTTCAAACATTTATGGGTTTTGCCTTGATTCGGTTTCCACTGGTGAGCAGTGAGAAAGGTGTCTGTGTTCCAGAATGTGCAGCTCTTGCCTTTTTCTAGCAGGTGTAGATGTAAACCCTGGCAAGAGCAGAAGCAGTGACTGTCAAATGAAGTGCTAAGGTGTAGAGGTTCTTGAATTCGACCCCGTGTAGAATAAGAGAAACGTTTACATGGCCAATGATGTAGCGCAAACAGGACAGAGACACTGAATGTCCATGTAGCTGCCCTGACCATTTCTCCATGAAAGTGCTTCTTTAAAAATACACGTGTCAGGCCAGGCCCTCCCGGGATTCCCTCAGCCCAACCAGGTCCAGCCTGGTCCCCAGGAGGATGAAGGGCGTGTATGACCAGGAGCATCCGTTCCAGAAGCACCGCTCAGCGGGCAAGAAGATCCGAAAGAAATTTCCAGACGGGGTCCTGGTGACAGCAGAGAAGGCGCCCAAAGCTCTGATAGATGATCTAGACGAAATGACACATGTGGGGCCTTCTGATCTCACAGCTGGTCAGTTCTACTTCTTGATTCAGAAGGAAGTTCATCTCCGAGCTGAAGGCACCTTCTTTTCCTTTGTCTACAACGTCAGTCCCCCCACCGGTACCCCGCTGGATCAGCTATAAACACACCAGGAACACCACGAAGACGGCTTTCTGTACTTTGCCTGCTTTGACGAAAGCCTCTGCGGTCTGTGAAGCTGCTGACCTTGAGCTGAGGCGGGGTCCCAGTCTACAAAGAGAAAGGTGGTCCCCCTTTCTTGACCCATGCCTCCTTCAGGCTCAAATCTCACCTCCCACCTTCAGGATCTGCACTACTCCATGTCTGTGGCTTTCCCTCCAGCCCTTCCTAGCGGGCGCAGTCATGGACTAAAGATGGAAATGGCCCCTAGTACAACGCCTTCTTCCGTTTCCTCTCCACCTTCTCTGCCACCTCTCCCACTCCACTGCAGTCTTCCTGGTTGCCAGTCTCACACCCAGTAATTGTTTTGGTTTCTGTTACCACTCTAACTACCCAGGGGGCTCAGAAACCCAACAATGCCTTTCACTGCCTTCTATTTGGGGGTAGGTGGAGGGGACTACAATTATGGGATGCAGGGGTGGGGCTGGGAGGAGGTACATCAATAAAGAGGAAACCACCAGAAAAAAAATACATGCGTCAAACACCTGGTCATGCCTCAATGACATTGTGTGCGTGCCCACCCACTCGCGTGTGGGCGATCTGTGATAGAGTACATTCGAGGTGTGGTTGAGCAAGGAGTAATTGTTCTTCCTTTTGCTGTACAGGATTGTCAGCATCACACTGCTGGGGACTTCTGTGAGCGCTGTGCTCTCGGGTACTACGGAATTGTCAAGGGATTGCCAAATGACTGTCGGCAATGTGCTTGCCCTCTGAGTTCTTCCAGCAACAAGTAAGATTGTGAAATATGACCATATTTTCCAGTCAGGAACACCATCTGTGTACCACCTTCTGTCTACGAATTGACTATTTTTCTTCCCATACAGGCAGTCTCAATTTTAGAGAAGGATTATTTGGAACCATATAAAAATATGAAAAGAAGTGTATAAAATGCCATTTGGCTGATTTTTCTTTTAAATTGGTCTTAGGTCAACAACTTAATAATTAGCAGGTGAAGACCAATGTTTACATAATGCATTCATAAAGAAAATAATTTATGTACACACATACGTATAATTCTATACACACACAGGTCTAGTATTTGCATACAGTTCTGCTATGTATCCCACTATGAAAGACTGTTTGGTATATAATTTGTTATGTTTGTGGCTGGGACTGCTTATTACTCAGGTTTAACACTGGCAAAGAATTATCAAGAAATAATTGGAAAAAAATCCGGCAATTAAGCAGTGTGGATTATTGTTCTGATACAAAAAAAAAAAAAAGCCATTTCTTTGGCAGCTACAGCCCATTTTCTGTTAAAATGTTCCAAGCTTGGTACCATGGTAACCAGCCATACAGGGAAACAAAAGCAGGGATATTTTATATCAGTGCTGTCCTACCATTCTACATTGGTTTATACATTCATGAAAACCCCTCAGTGTTTCTACTGCCCTTTGCACTCGGCTAGCCGTCCTTTCTGCTAAGAGATTTACAGACTTCAGTCTTTACATGGCAGGGCAGCATGTTCTCTAAGAATTTGCTTTGAGAAATGTGTCTAGCAGGTTTCTCAGCATTAGAATCCTGGACCCCTTAGCTTCCATGTAAAAGAACCATGAAGCAGTTCCGAAAAAGTGATCTTCCACCCAGGCTTGCTCAGTTCTCCGCCTTGCCCTCAGCTTCAAGCCTTCTGAAACCATATTAGAGTAAATTACCTTCCCTAAGCCCCTCTTCCTGTGCTTGAGTCACGGCCACTTACAAATGGCAAGTGGAAATGTTTAGGTAAGTTGGATGAGCATGAGAAAATCGTCACCATGCTAATGTTCTTTCAAACACCAACTGGCAGGTATCTGAAAAAAGAGTATCACTTTAACCTTTCTTTAATCTCTACCTGATCGCCATGTTTAAATAAGAGACAGCTGCTCACTTTATCGATTGAAACATGAACTATTTGGATAAAAATTAGTCGATAAGTAATTATTATTTCTCTGTTAAGGAAATGTTATGAGGAGAAGCTTAGAACACATAAAACAAAAGGTTTTTTTTTTTTTTTGGGGGGGGGGGCTGTTCAGTATCAGAGAATGAAGTTTGGAGTATGGAGGATAGGTTGTAGAGATCCTTGAATACCACACTAGGAAATTGCTATTTAATCTTCTGTGTAATGGAGAACCCCTAAAAGATTTTGTTAAAAGTAACACAGAAGAAGAAGAAAAGGTTAATGTGGCCACAGCTACAAGAGGGACAACTGTGATAGATTGATTACAGCTCATTGAAGCCGGCTGAGGAGAAAGCTATTGCGCTTGCCAAGCAAGAAATAATTAGAACCTGAGTTAGGTAATGGTAACAAAGATGGAGACACAAGGATGCATGTGGAGAAACTGCTTAATATAGCTCTACAAAATTGATAACTAATTAGATGTGAAAGGTGAAGGTCAGGTAAGAGTCGAAGATGGTATGTAGCTAGATTGCCCCCTAAAAATGATGGTGCCAGTAATTGAAACAGGAAAATCTTGAAGAAGAGAGAGAGCTGCTTCAGAGGAAAGACAATTTATGTTTCAAATAGGTTCAGATTGATACAAAGGTCTAGCTAAATGGAAATATGCAAATAGTTGTAAGAAATGGAAATCAGAAAACTGGAGGAGCAGACAAGGGATTTCCCTTCAGATTTCCCATGGTAACATTACCCAACACGAACAACTAGAAAGAAAAGCAGGGTAAGCTCTATTTCGAAAGCAGGAAGAAAAAGAAGTAAAGTAGGAGCATTTGGGAGAGAAGCGACAGAGTGCCGAGTCATGGGCTTCAAGAGGGAGGCGCAGCAGGGAGCAAGCAGCCAGTGCTCTGGAAAACTGAGAATGCGAGAAACTGCAATGTCAACTGCGTATATTGGTCACTGAAAGCATGAATTTTAAATTATTATGAGGTGATAAAAGGGTATGAATGTATGGCTTAAAGAAATTACAAGAAAAAAAAGGGAAAGCATTGTCGAGATTGAAAGCCAGCAGAATGAAAAAAAGTATGTTTTAATTGTTGCTTTACATAATTTGTTTGATCTAAGCATCCTTTGATGAAAAGGATACGCTAAAAATTAAAATAACAAAGACTCAAAGTGATATTCCATTTTAAAAATCAAAAGTAGTGAAAGAAACACGTTCACATAAAAAAATCTCGTGTTTACAACTCTCTATATTTATAGAGATGGCATCTGACGGGATGGGTTTTGCCTTGGTGCGCAGGAGGGAAGGTGCCCTCTCAGTGGGTGTGGTTCCGGGTTGGGCTGTGCTCCATGGGGGAAAGACTGGGCTTTCCACGCCCATGAACTGTTACAGCCTGGGAAACCCAGTCGTGGGTGTCTCCACGAGTCAGTGTTGCCTCAATGGCAGTGAGTTTTGAGGGTGTCAATAAGTGTTGTACTAACCACCAAGTCACCATTTTTAACCCATGAGTCACTCCTGGTGAGCAAGTTGAGGGACTTTGCGCCTGTCAAGATTGATAGCCCAGAAACCTTATGTATGGTCCCTTTGAGTCAAACTGGGGTCAATTGCAGGGGGTTTGCTTTACACATAATACAGGGACTCGGGTGGTTCTGTGGTTAATATTCTGATTTAACCAAAGAGTCAGTGGTTCAAACCCATCAGCCACTTGTGTGACTGTGAATCTGCTTCCCTGAAGATTTGCAACCTGGGAAATCCTGTGAGGTAGTTCTGCTTTGACCAATAGGGTCACTAACGGTAAATATCAACTTACAGAATTGGCAGTAGCTTTGGCTTACATATAACACAATAAATGATTAAAGACCAAACTGCAAATGTGCTGCCATTGAGTCCACTTCAACTCACAGTGACTGTATAGGACAGAGTAGAACTGCCCTTTCATGTTTCCAGGACTGTAAATCTTTACAGAAACAAAGTCTTCTCTGTCTCCCTTGGAGTGGTGGGTGGATGCAAACCGCTGACCTTTCGGTTAGCAGACTAACACATAACCCATTTTGGCACCAGGGCTCCTTACAATGTCAATAAAATGGTTAACACATTTTCAGAAAATGTACTGTTATGCTATGTATATTACTGCTACTCTTATTTAATTTTATTTTCCATTTAAAAAAATTTCTGTCACAACCCACCAAACTGATTTCATAACCTATAAATATTAATATCTAAAATTTGGAACATATGGGACAATTAAAAAGCTCAGACCTATACATGTGGATGGTGAGAAACATTAAGATGAGGAGTGAAGAAATCATCCAGGACAAGGAAGAGAGACGCTTCTCCCTAAGCTGTAAATATGGATTCTCCGGTGCAGCTAGAGGAGGCCAAGATGTCTTACATAAGTGACTAATCTTTTAGTCAATGAGAAGTCAATGGTAGGGCCTGTTGAGTAATTATCCACCACCTCTGAGGACATTAATTAAAGTCTTCATTATCTCTTACCACAGTAAATAGGGTAAATGTCTTTAAATGGTGGTAGTGAATCTTCGGCTATCTTAAGCAATTTGCCACTGCCCACAAAAGAAAAGGCATCCTGGGTGATGCAAATTGTTAAATTAATGAACTGTTAATCAAATGGTTGGAAGATCTAGTACAGCCAGAGGCATCTTGGAGGAAAAGCCTGGCCACCAACTTATTAAAAATAAATCATTGAAAACCTAATGAAGTAAACTTCTATTCTAACATTCATGGGGTTGCCATGAATGTTCAGTTAACTCCCTGGTAATCAGCAATACTGGAAGAGTTCAGGCTTTTAACACAGCACATGATTCTTTGCTGCCCGACATCTACCTCCCTACCTTGCTGGGCTCAATGCTCTCCACACTGCAATTGTCTAGCTAAAATGAACTTGCCCCTCTCTAATCATCCTTTGCTATTACTATTACAAGCTTTGCTAATAATGTTCCCTGAGACAATTCCTCTGTAATTCCATCTATTTTTTTAAAGGCCCATCTCAAAGTATTTCCTCTTCTCATAAAATAGCATATCTTTTGTGCTTTTAGTATGTATAGATGTTATCTCCCAAGATTATTTCAATCAAATAATCTTTCAGAAGAAATGGAACATTTAATAAAAAGAGTGTAAATAAAAAATCAACGATATGTGTCTTTTGCTGTAGTTGCAGATTTCTGTCCCTGATATAAAACTGTCAATTCCTAGAAGTAACTCAGCTTAGCCCACTGCTACTGAGTAAATGCCAACTCTTAGTGATGCTATAGGACAGAGTGGAACACGCCCTGTGGGTTTTCAAGACTATAACTCTTTATGGGAGTAAAAAGCCACAGCTTTCTCCCATGGGGCAGCTCTCAAATTATTGACTTTGGGATTAGCAGCCTAACTCATAAGCCACTACCATCAGGGGTCCTTAAAGTTAAAGCCTGTATCTTTTGTTCAGTAACTTTCTGCCAGGCATCCTTCTTATTGATGGTGATATAACAAATGAACAAAACTGTCCAAGCAGCTTGTCTTCCTAGAGCTTACACCTAAAAAGACAGTAAGATGGTCGACAGATAGATGTGCAATATAGAGATGCGTGTTACAAAGAAAAATAAAATAAAGTATGGCAAGTGAATTTAGGGTGACTGAGTACCATTTTAGACAGGGTGGTGTAGGAAGAGCTAGCTGCCTAACCAGTGAGTTTGTGCAAGGACTTGATTAAGTAATGGAGAAAATTGTGGCAGTCCTGGTGGTAGAGCAAGTGCCATGGCTCAAGATGGACCCCATTCTTGGCCCATGCTTGGTAGGTAGCAAAAAACAAACAAACAAACCTTACACTGTTGGGACCATCATGATTTCAGGAAAGGTAGCAGTCTATGGGGTCAAGGATTCTCCTGAAGATTAAATATAATAAGAAGTCCATAGAAGACTTCAAGTCTGAGGACAGATGATGGAATCTGACTTCATCTTCAAGGCTCGCTCTGACGGTTTGAAGTAGGAACACCAATTTCAGGCAACAGAGTAGTACAGCTTGGTAAGGCAAACGTGTCAGTGGATGTGGAGCCAGCAGTTTGGGAGGAAGGGATAGATGAAAAATGTGAGAGAAAGGAAATAAAGTTGGCTGATTGTTCCTCAGAAAAACAAAGAAGAGAGTGGCAATTGACTAGAGGGGGGAAACTATAGAAGGGACTTTTGAGAGAGGTACACTGGGAGCAAGGAGTTCAAGAAGAAAGAAAATGTACTGAAAATGATGAGGGCAGCAATTGTACAATTGTGGTTGATCTAATGGAACTATGGATTGTAATAACATATGTAAGAGTTCCCAATAAAATGTTTTTAAACAATCAGGATACCCCCCCCCACAAAGCAAACAAACAAACAAAACATTAAATCTGAAATGTTCAGGAGTGGTTAGAGTAGAAAGTTAAGTATGTAATCTTATCTAAAACCAAACAATCAAGTCAATTCTGAATCAAAGTAACCCTGTGGATAGAAGGGAACAGACTGTAGGTTTTTGAGGGAGCAGCAAGCCTCATCTTTCTCCTTCAGGTGGCTTGTGCGTTCCAAGCGCTGACCTTGTCAGCAGTCCATTGTGTAACTCCCTGTACAACCAGGACTCCTTCTCAGTGCTATTTAACAGCCTGGAAATCAGAAGAAGAGATAGAAAGGTGTGGATTACCTGGGTAGATATGCAAGAGCACGTCCAGTGGTTCTTAGCAGCTGCACTTTGAGGGGAATGTAACACCTTGTCTTGAGGTCTCCCTTTGGACCCACTTTCAATTGATCCTAATCATTAATATCCTCTGGTTTTTCTTACATTCCGATCTTTCCCTATATTCTATGAGCATTGCTGCTGGGTCCTCCTTTTGTTCTTTGTCCTTGTTTTGTATGTCTGACTGTATAGGGAAGCCTGGATTTATGAAGACAGTAAGTAAAATAACAATAATTACCTGGGGCATTGAAGGAGAGGGTGGGAAAATGGGGAGTCAACACTAATTGCCACAGAAGGAAAAAAAAGTTATGAAGTGAATTGTGATCATGATTGCACAACCCTTCGTAATATGACTGAGCTATTGAATTGTACACATTAGCTCTAGTTCCATAAACCTATGTCAAGAAGACTAGATAGGATCATGTAAGATAGCAGGGGAAGTGGACAGAGAGAAGGGACTGGAAGCAAAAAGGTATGAAGAAGAAGTGAGGCAGGATCTACAAACTATGAAGTACATTAATAGATGAGGGACAAGAGGTAGATCCCTTGAAGAAGGCCGAGAAAAAAGAACCAGGGAATTGAGAGAGAAAAGCAGACAAACAAGAATGGAGTGGTGTCAGTTCTTGAGGTTACCCATACGACAGCACCAGTAGGGCAGAAAGTGCCCATTTTGTTTCGTAGTTCCCCAGCAGATAGATAGCACAGAGGGACAGAACACATAGATTTTAGAATTCTGCTGAAGGGGGTGGGGCATAGGCCACCATCAAGAAGCGCAAGGATTTCTGTGTGTGCCTGCACACAGTAGGAGAATTCAGAAGGCATAAGGGAGTTGTGATAGAAACTATTCTGTCATCAATCTGTTCTGTCATCAGTCAAGCTCTACTTATCTCTTAATAAGTTCTGTTATGTATCACCTCTGGGTTACACAAAGTATTTGCACCAAAGGCTGGAGGTTTGATCCCCACCCCACAGGGAAGAAAAGCCCGGAGATCTGCTTCCATAGAGATTCCAGCCAAGAAAACCCTACGGAGCCGTTCCCCGTGTGTCTGAATCGTGTCAAAGGCAGTGGGTTTGCTTTGAGGTTTGTCTGTGAGAGTAAAGGAAAGCACTCAAGTTGCCATCATGTCATGATTTTAAAAATTGTGCCTAGCAATTACTGAGGGAGAAGTAGTGCCTCCGTGTGTTGTGCTTTGCAATGGGTGTATTCCTGTAAAGGAGTAGATTTAATTACGCTAGCACTCGAGAGTTTCACTTCATCTGTCAAACACCTGTTTCCAAGTGTCTTTATGCGTGTGGTTGTGTGTGTGTGTGTTTGTAGGTGCATGCATGCACTGAGCATCAGCTTTATACCAACGAGTGCAAGCTTGCCCAAGCCAGAAGACTAAACCCACAGCTATCAAGTCAATGGTGACTTACAGTGACCCAAGATAGGGTTTCCAAAGCTGCCAATCATGACTGCAGCAGACAGCCTCATCTGTCTCCTATGGAGTGGCTGGTGGATTTGAACCACCAACCTTGTGTCTGACAAGGCCATGAGGACACCTTAAACATGACAGAATGTGTCAATTATATTTTGTAGGTCCATGTTTTATGAAGGCAACATAAGATTGATTTAAGTGCTTACCTATGTTGCAAAGGTTAGAGTTTATTATTCTTTTCTGCACTATTGATTTAATGCATGAGACGATAGTTACAATAGGGACCTACTGACACCTGTCCAGTGGTAGCTATTTCTGTGCTGTTCACCTTATTGTTTTCTCAGCCTCAGCCGATGGAGCAGGGCCGGCAAACAGGAAAGTGGTGTTGAAAGCACCGCACCATTTTGCCACAATTTCCCCACTGAGTTTCTAATGACCATGCATTTTTATGCAGTAGGAGTGAGCAGTGCTTACTACCACAAAGGCATCGTTTAACTTTCAAGTCTTTCTAAGTCTGTATCTGTAGAGTGAGAGCATTAGAAATCCTGAGGCAAGGCAGGCTTAGTGAGGTTTACACGCATTGTAGGGAAGAAACAGGCCAAGTTACTGAAGATCGAATTATTAGGGTGGGGGGAGACAAAGTACATAAAGTAGACAGTAAGTCATTCCTCTTCGTGTGAGAAGGCTTTTCTTCTTCGTTCTTCACACTAATAATAGTACTTGGTGTTTAAAGGGAAAAAATACCTTGGATTCTGATGTAAATTAGAAAAGACACTCTTTTAAGTGAAACATTTGTTCGCATTTCATGTGTTGAAATGCCAGTAGCAATTCAGATGAATTCCCAAGGGAAAAAGATATCATTTTTATGCCTTTATTTATTTTGTTTATTCTTAACTGAAAGTTAGTTTTTTAATACTGCTTCAGCTATCAGGCAAAAGTACATCCTTGACGTGTTTTTCTTTCGATGGGTAAAAATATAATATGCATTTTTAAGATGTTTAATATTTTCATGACTGTCTTACAATTATTAGAATTTCAAAGTTTTAACCACTCAGCGATCATCTAATGATGGTTGTGGTTGATGCCACTGTTGAGCATCCTTAAGTCAATTTCAGATGAGTGTATCTCAGATGATGACAGAAGAAATTCCCTAAAAGTTTTCTAAGCTGTAGTATTTATGAGAGCAAATCACCAGGTCTTCTGAAGACAAACTGGGTTGTTCCAATAACCAAATTTCAGTCACCAGCCAAGCACTTAAAATGTTGCCCTCCCCCACCTCACCCAGGGATTCTGGATAATGGATCACCGAGTAAAACCACATCCACTGTGGTCGAATCCATGCTAACTCCTGTGGTCCTATCTAGGGACTTTATATTTGGCAGCCCAACGGCTAATGCACAAAGCCATGGGGGGTCCTTACTGACAATTGATAGGCATGCCTAATTTAATAAATAGCAGGTTAAAGTATTTTAAAAGCAATGATTATTTTTCTTTTCTAGTTTCAGCCCTACCTGTGTCATGGAAGGCCTCAATGATTACCGCTGCATTGCTTGTCCACGGGGATATGAAGGGCAATACTGTGAAAGGTATGAAGGTCAAGGATGCATTGAGATATGATACATGGAAACTAACAGTACACAGAGATCATACAGTAAAGGATCATAATAGTCATCATTCCATAATCTCATTATACTCCTACCCCTAACATATTTAATTAAATGCCTTCAAAATGATTTTTCTATATTTAGACTTTCTCCAAAGTAAGATGTTGTTTACTTCCAACTTATATATGGGTTTCCTCCATGATTCCAAATCACTTCACAATGACCTAATTTGTTTTAATCTGTATATATATACACACACATACATGGGTATCTATATGGATATCATATACACAAATAAAAACCATATACAAATAAAAACCAATTTCCTTATCTGTAGTTGCCAATAGTGAAAGCTGGCCATATGATTTTCATTTGAATCCATTGTCTATTATTGTCCAACAATAACTGCATATGAGCACTAAGGCACTGAACTAGCCAGTCTATACATAATGCAGAATACAAGTGTTATCAAGAATTTTCATTGGTACTACCCAAACAACAGAGTGTTTATTATTCAGCTCTTCTTTTCAACAGACAAGCAGTAACATTTAAATACTTTCTCTCACGGTACGTCTTACAAGATCTGATAATATGTGTATATAGCTATTAAATTGGATACAAAATGTAATTCAAATAGTAAAATAAGAATGATATTTCCACACTGACAGTCTACCAAGGGTGTAATTAATATTATTCTGATCCATATTTTCTACAAGGTGAGCATCCTGTATTGGCAAACTTACCAAAACTCACTTTTAATTCTTTTCAGATATTATCTCTACATAACAAAGAACAACATTAATTATTAAACTTAATTTTATTTGATACATGATAACTTTAGAATAGTGGCTAACCATATAAAAGTTTTGTAAAGATCCACGGACTTAGGTTACTTCTACTAACTTAGATGGCTCTACTTTTCTCATCTATCGTAGCAGAGGTAGCTGAAGTCCCACTTCTGTCAGGATGAAGAGCCTAGCGGCAGGGGGTCTGGGGGGTCCTGTCCCGGCAGCTATATGACAGACTCCTGTCACCTACTTGTTTCTAGATGCCATCCAGTCGATTTAGATGCACAGGGACTGTGTGCTTGTGTTGTCCTTAAGTGCCATCATGTCTGTTCCTACTAGGACCAAGTAGAATTACCTGGTAGGGTTTGTTGTGGCGGTTGCTGTCCCCGCCCCCTGATCCGTGGGGAAGCCAGTTACCTGGTCTTTCTCCTGTAGAGCCTCAGAGTGGGTCTGAACTGCCAAACATTCTATTCACAGCTGAGTGCTTACTTAGTTCTGCCACCAGAGCCCCTCCTCCTGTATACAAGTATTTTCCCAATCAAATGTGTTTAACATGTCTCCACCATCAGTGGGTGTCTGCAGACAGATTCTCTCAGGAATAAACTTATCTTAGTCTTGTTATGATGTCTTTAAAAGAGAATAAAAGGTCCAGTCAAAATAGTATCTTTCTTAGAAAGTCTTCTGGTCTACTAAATTCTAAGTGGAGAGGTCAGCTCAGACTGTCTTTGGGAGAGTCTGAAGGGATAATCTTGATAGATTCTCTTGAAGGACAGAGGGCAACCTTGTGGGCTTATCATGAGGAAATTAGAAGAGAATTGACAACTGCACTGGGCAGAAAAGTTGTGCGGAGGAATTTACTTTTCCCATCCCAATATTCTATCAGCTCGTTCATGGGGGCTAACAGGGTCTGTCCTGTATGAGATGTGTTGGGAAACTAGATCCTGATCTTGCCCTTTCAGACTTCGTTTTATTCTCAAATGTCAAAGACTGTTTCCGAGGATTTGGGCTCCTTGAGGATGCCAAATGATTGCTTCAATGTAGATTACAGGGAAGAGCGCAGAGTCCTTTGGGGGCAGGATCAACCTGAGAAATGGACACCTGGCTTCCGAAGAGCATAGACTAAATGAGGATGGGCACATAGCACTAAACGATACTTCACATTTTGACGTTTTGTTCAATCGAAGTTTTTATGAGTTTTTAACAGTCTATTGACTTGCCCTCAAATAAACTTATATACATCCAAATTATATATCTGTAGAAATATACATACATGTGAAGGGGCTTCAGGAAATTTTGTGAAGAAATTGGGATAAATGATAGTGGAATTTCCCCATGAACTTTTGGAGGTCCTTCATGAGTGTGTATATATGTGTATGTGTTTAAGGTTTAGATGATATGTGATTATGTCTATATCATACATATATAATTTGGACATTTTACATTATGTCAATTTTTATAATATATGTGTGAATCATCTCTTTCCCAGTGTGCTTTGGTGTTTATGATTAGGCTAATCTTCACTTGGTGCCCTTCTCAACACCGGCAGGATATGGTTATAATCTGGATATCAAGAGGGTTATATATTAAGTGATGGTGAAAGATGTTGAAGTATATATAGTCCATTTGAATTCATGCTTCCACAATCAAAGAGAGCATGGATTGAAATGGCAGTTCTCATCTTAAGGAAGCATGATTATAGAGAAATATATTTTTGTATTCATTAATGTTTAATCAGTAAGCTTTGACATCCACATCGCATAAAGACAAAATGAGGCATACACTATCAGCTATGAATGGCTTGAATTGTTTTTGTACTTCTTAAATGTTATTGCTGGTCTGTGTTCATCATCTCCAATATCATGTAAATGATCAAGTTACATTTTCCGGGAAAATTGCTTTTATTCACCTAAATTAAACCAAAGGTCTTGGTTAAATTTTTATCATAACCCTCAAATAGATTTGTTCTGGTTCTGAGAGCTTCTTAAGTTATTTAAATCACCTCACAACCTACTAAAAACTCATCAGCCCAGGTCTGAAATTGCTGAAACATCGTGTGCAGCCCCGCAATGTAGCAGCCTTCCCCCTACTCTTTCTCACTTTTATAGTAAACTCGTGGAGCATTTAAGCAATCTTAGCCTACTTAGAAGCGAATGATCTCACCTGTAAATGTTAAAAGCCAATTAAAGTCTGCTTATGTCAGTGATACACTTTCTGAGCATTTGCAGTCTCTACCTGGAAAGAAGATAACAATTACAAACATAAATGCATACTAGCCTGGTGTTATAAATACTTCTCATCCTGTTTTGCCTTTTCTGACCATCACAGGTGAGTTACTTTCACAATTGTCGCTAGTTATGGCCAAGTCTGCTATGACTCATGGTGAGCACATGGAAGGTTTTCAAAGCTATGACTCTTCTTAGCAGATCTCCAGCCTGGATTACCAGGCACCTCTGGATGGTTTCAAACCACCAACCTTTAGGCTGTACTAAATTGTTTAACTTTGTGCATCACCCAAGGACTCTTTCACCATCAGCCCTAAAGATTTACACAGTGATTAAGTATTGGGCTGCAATCCTCATGGTTAGCAGTTCGAAACCACCAGCAACTCTTTGGGTAAAAGACTGGGCTTTCTACTCCCATGATCAGTTACCGTCTCAGAAACCCACAAGTGGTTCACTATGAGTCCGCATTGACTCGATGGCAGTGAGTTTGGTTTGGAGAGGCTAGTGAAGATGGCCGAGAATTACCTGGCCAACGTTTATAGCTTTAGACCCCAACTGCCTACTCTCTTCAGATCTTGCACAAAAACTAGAACTGTTGGTTAAATATATTTATTTATTGTCCTATCCAGGACACTCTTAGAGCAGCACGAAGTATTTTGGTTGATTATGTTAGGACAGCCCGTAAACCGAGGCTGTCCTAGGAAAATCAGAGCATAAGACCCTGTTAACATCTTGTAAATGATCGAATCTCATGACTTAGTGGAATCTCTTGCTTAGACGAAAGATAGAAGAGTGGGTGGGCGAGCAGTTGGAAAGATTGTACCATGAGCCAGGCCAACCTGATGCCCTTCCTAGTTTCTCAAATTGGTGTCATCGCAATGTATTCATATAGCACTAGCTTTCTCCCACGGACACCGGAGGGAAACTTCATCTTAACGAAGATGTAGCAGGAAGGAAAGACCAACAGAAGAGTGAAATTGCAAACTTTATTATCAGATTGCCACTTAATATGCTTCTTTTTGCTCATTTGTAAAACCAATGGGTTGTATTTTTCAGTGAACTTGATCTCTTGAAATACATGAGTGTAGGAAGCCCAGGAGTTCATATATCATTTTATTCATCATTAATAAAAGAGAGAGAGAGAGATAACTTGAAAGAAAAGTTTATGATCTAGAAAAGCAGTGGACAAACCAAGGATCATGAGCCAAATTTGGCTATTGTCTGCGTGCCCAGATGATACTCAAGTTGGAATATTGGTTACAGGTACAACAAATTTTTCACAAGCATTCACAATCAATTTTATAAGGAGCCCTAAATTTGTATTTCATTAAATATGAATTTATACCACAAAAAAGAATGTTTTTCTTTTTAGTAGATAAGAATTACCAAATAATTGCTATACATTTTTATTTTGTTTAAAATTGCATTTGTTAAAAATATACCCAAATCTCATCCTGTTATATAAATTTCTGCATAAGAGGCTTTAGTTTGCCTCTTGTCCTGCAAAGAGAAAAATCTTTACTATCTAGCCCTTCAAGATGAAAGTTTGCTGGTCCTTGTTCTATGAACTCTTAATACCAATTTTCTGCCATTCAAACACACACACACACACACACAAAACTTAGAGAAATGGCTTGTTCTTAACCTCCTACATTTTGTTTAAATCCAGGTGTGCCCCTGGCTATACTGGAAATCCAAGCAGCCCAGGAGGTTCCTGCCAGGAATGTGAGTGTGACCCCCACGGTTCACTTCCTGTCCCATGTGACCCTGTCACTGGGCTCTGCACGTGCCGACCTGGAGCCACCGGGCAGAAGTGTGACGGCTGCCAGCACTGGCATGCACGGGAGGGTGCTGAGTGTGTTTGTACGTATGCCAACTTAACCATGAGCTCTAGGGGCTTTGGTTCCCTTCTGCCTTGCTGCCAAGTGAGAAAGAGTGGCTTTTATTTTCCGTATTGCAACAGTTTGTGCTTTTCTTCATGCCTCTGACTCTGTCTATCCACCTTCCTCTACTGATCACCTGCTGTTCTTGTCGCCACCCTGCTGAGCCAAGAGCAGCTGAGAAACTCCTAGGCAGGCTTCAGTCAGGTCTTTGAAGCTCCTGAAGGCATCCTCTAGTGGGCTTTATTTTTTGTTTATCACACAGTTTGCATTTTTGTCTCAAATTGCCATTGCCTAGGTGACAGATTAAAAATCTAAGTCTATTATTGTTAGAGTCCTCCTGAATCTGTAACCAACTGGACAGGCCCTTTATACCTTGATTGATGACAGCTGTTTCCTTTTCCCAGCTCTTAAGGAAATCTCTGAGCACGCTGCTCTATACCTTTCTCTTGGACCACAGAATCTAGAAGCAGCAAAAATGAAAGCCAGTATTTAACACAGAGGGGCAATAAAGGGAGAGCATGCTGCTAATTAAAATAGATAGATAGATGATGATAGATAGATAGATGGATGGATGGATGGATGGATGGATAGATAGATAGATAGATGATAGATAGATTTCTGGATTCTGTAATGCTATATTGAAAGTGCATCGAATATCAGTAATTAGATAATAATTTGGAGACATTATGTCTATACTAAGAAAATAGGTTATAAGTGTAGGAAGGTGATATGCTGTAGTATACTTTTCTTAAGGAAGTTTATATTAATTTTCATAATTTTTAGCAAACAGAAATAAAATAAAATATGTTAGGACTTTTGTTTCAACATTTGCCAATTGTAATATATGAATACATTTGGGGAATTTGTTTTTGTTATTTTTAACCTTAATGTTATATACATATATAAATCTTAATAGAGCTTTAATTTTAAAAAGTTTTGTCAGCACTCCAGTTTATTAACAGTTACTTACCAGTGACAACTGGTTAAAGAAATATGCCAGAAGGATAGGTATCATTGGGAAAATAAGGAAATAAATTGTTTTTCTTTATATTTCAATTATCTGAATGCATTGCATTTGATTACATTTTAAAGTCAAGTTTAGTGGGAGAGATTAAATATGACATTTCACATATACTAATATATTCAGTTTGTAGTTAATACCTATTTATTCTTCCCAACTATCATGAAATATTTTAATGATAAGTAAAGAGGTAGACTGAAAATAATCTAACTAATTCTAAGGTTGTTTCTAAGTTAATTAGATATATTTATTTAACAAGTGTATATGTACATATGCTTATTATTAGAGTTCTGACCTGACCTATTTAGGCATCAATTATTTAGTAGTAAACTTGAAATAAAAAGAACTTATTTAATGAAAACAATAGAAATAATAATAAAAACTAAAAGCTGAGGTGAAGTGACGGGGTAATTTTCTGAACATCTCTTTTAAACAAAACTGGCATTCTATAATTTTTATTTTTTTCTTTAAAAAAGTCACATTGCTTTACTTCTTTTTCTGCTGAGGATCAATGTTTTGGATGTATTTTCAACAAATTTATTGTCAGCAAACTTAACTCATTTATTCCTGTCACGTGCATGAATTTCTAATATCCAGTGCTGCACATGACATTAGCAAAGGTGACAATCTTTGATTACAGTATCACACTAGCCTTGTAACATCTGTGAGGAGCCTGGTAGCCTTGTTGTTACTCGTTGGTTTGCCGACCACAGCATCCGCAGTGTGCAGTCACGAAGCACCAGCCGCTCTGCGGGAGAAGAATGAGGCGTCTCCTCCCGTGAAGTTACAGCCTCAGAAGCCCACCGAGGCAGCTCTGCCTTGTCCTAGAGGGTCACGTGGAGCCAGAATTGACGCCGTGTCTGTGAGTTTGGGTTTGGCTTTGGTGAGAGTGCTCATAGCACAGTATTCTTGCCCCACGGGGCTACGTACTTCCAACCAAAGAGATGCTATTCACTGTTGTCTCTAGGTCCTGGAAATTCTAGTCTTCTGGAGGATAAAATAACAGTGATTCTGCTATACAAGATTTTTCTGTTAAATTAGTGGACTGTTTTTGATATCTAGACCTCTTTTTTTTTTCTTTTTTAAAATTATTTGATTTGGTGCTCGTACAATTCTTATCACAATCCATACATATACCCATGTGTCAAGCACATACGTACATTTGTTGCCCTCGTCATTCTCAAAACATTTGCCTTCTACTTTAGCCCTGAATATCAGCTGCTCATTTTCCACCTCCCTCCCCACTTCCCCCTCCCTCATGAACCCTTCATAATTGACACATTATTATTATTTTGTCATATGTTACACTGTCCGACGTCTCCCCCTGCCCTTTCTCTGCTGTCCATCCCCCAGGGAGGAGGCTATACGTAGATTCTTGTAGTCGGTTTCCCCTTTCTACCCCACATTCCCTCCACCCTCCAGGCATCGCCCCTCACACCACTGGTCCTGAAGGGGTCGTCTGTCCTGGAGTCCCTGTGTTTTCAGTTGCTATCTGTACCAATGTACATCCTCTGGTCTAGACCTCTTTTTGAAGCTTTTATAATTATTTGGTAATTATGTGTAGATTTCCCTCCTAGTGACCCTTAAGGTGTCGTGTTTTCCACAAATATCCAGAAATGTTTCCTCGTTAGTGCTCCTTCCACTGAATTTAAGAATGTTTACAGAGATGCTCTTCATGCTTTTCTTGGTGGCTGATCTTATCAATCTGTTCATGTCTTGGAACAAAACGCCAATTTTAGACTCATCTTTCCAAGACCCCATTTCTGCTCCTAGTTTTGAAATGAGATAACAAAATAAAACACATTGACAAGGGCACACAACTCTGACTTGATCTTCAGCCCTCGTAAAACACAATACCAAATGTCTTTCTGCATCTGCAAGCCAAATTGGAGCAAGAGGCCAAGAATGGACTCACCAGGTGTGTTTGACCTTCAGGGCGTATTCTATCACAAGTGAACATAGTGGACATTTTATAATGCCTGGGGATAGGAGAAGAGAATGCAGTCCTTGCACTTAAGGGTCAGCAGGCCTCGACTGTATTTCCTGTCCCAACTCCAAGCACACTGCCATTGACTCAGTACAGCGCTGTCAGGGGGCCTGGGTGGGTGGAATCAGCTCCCTCATTATGAGAGACTCTGTGGTCCAGGGCACATACCTTTGTGTACTGGGAAAACCACGAGCAAGAACATCACTGTTACGGACCCAGGAAGACCGCCCGTGCTCGCTGGCGTCTCGCAGCGACATGCAAGTCCCTCTCAAGGACTTAGAGGGGCAAGGAAAGTGCCTACACGGTTTCTTTCATTTGCTCTGAGTGATTCGATTTCTACATTTGCTCTGAGTGATTCGATTTCTACAGGCCAATTTTGTGTCCTTTGTTCAATAAACGATAGGCTAATGATACAGCCAGTTATAGATTCTTCTCTACTACTTGAGATAATGCCATGATCATCCTTGGTCCTCCAGACCCCTTTTTATTTTTTTAGGAGGTGGGCAAGAGTGGGTGCGCACATTCATATAGTCTTGGAAACCCTCCATAGACTCTTTATGCATGGTTTGGTTACACTAGCTTCTAATGCAAGACACAGAAAGCAAACTTGATTTCCCCCAACATATTCAGCAAGACTTGAGGCAGCTTTTTATTCATTTGCGTCTGCAGAGCTTCTATTTTACCCTGATGGAGAATAAAGATGAAGTCAACTAACAATAGAAAAATGATCCATTTAAAGTAGATATAAGGTCCACCAGAACAGTTTTTTTAAATCTTCAGTCAAGCATTGGGACACTCTGCTCCAAGATTCAAAATGTAAGATCGTTACTACAGATTCTTATTGCTCAGGGAGTGTCCAGTGGAGTCCTAGGCCCCGATTAGGGAGAAAGGCACGCCGCCTGGGTGTGCGGATACCCTTCGAGGCCACGTCCCCTTGTGTACAAGGACTCATTTAGGACAGCTGTGCAATGTGTTCTTCCCTTATTCATGAGGGTGACTCCCGGATAGTTATTTTGTAGCAAGCACTATGCCAGATTAAGACGTCTCCTTAGGCAGATAGGTTAATAAAAATGCATCTTCCTTTCGCAACCCTCATTCATAATTTACGAGTCACTTAGAAAATAAAAACAACCACTTGCTTCTTCGAAACTTGAGAAGGAGCAAGAGAGCCATTATTTATTTAAAGATAAATTTTTGAATTGTAAAACATGGTGCTTGGATGTGTCCCTGCCTCATTGTCTGCAGGCCAACAGTTCGCTCAGAAAATAAACGTGTGTAATGTTTAAAGGAGTTTATGAGTGGCATAGTAAATATATATGACACTGTGAGAGCAGAATTACAATTAGTAGCTGTTGACAAGATGTTACCCCATAAAGAGTGACTGAAATAGCATTTTACAAATACCAAATTGCTGCTTCATAGTTTTAATCACTGCAGATGAGGCACGAGGGATATAGCAGTCCCATGATGTATAGCCACACTTTATAAGATGATGCTTTTTGTTCCGATGTTGCCAAAGTGGTCATGAAGTGTATTATTTTTACTTACAACCTAAAGTCCAAACCCCAAACCAAACCCACTGCCACCCAGTTGATTCCAACTCATAGCAACCCTGGACAGTGCTCTGGAGTCAAAATCTCTCTGGAGCAGCTGGTCCTGTCTTTCTCCTGCCGAGCAGCTTGTGGACTTGTGTCATTGACCTTGTCATTAGCAGCCCAAGGGTGAAACCAGGGCTGCTGTTCACCTAGCCAAATGGCAGCACTCTCCTGGTCTCTGTGAGGTGTGCACCAACCAGCCCCTGGGAGAAGTCTTAGGTCTAAACTTCTATCTTACTTTTACAAAACCAGCAAAGATGCAAACAAGATTGTTGCTTTGAAAAGGCAGTGGCGTCCAAGGTTTGGTCACAAAGATGCAGAGGCCCTTTGATAGCATCACTAGAATAGCACTATGCATTTATAAATAGAAATAAAAT